TTTAATAATATAGATATTATTTTATTTTTGTTTTTCCTTGCGATTTATTGATATTTTTAAAAATTATTCTCATATTATTTCTGTTTTCCTCTTCTCTATCTCATCTTTCCATTTTGTTCTTAAGTGTTACTTTCCTTTCGAAATACAAGTCTAAACTTCCCTTGCTATCTTTACAACGTCCGCCTTTGTACTCATCCTTCTTAAACTAGAAACAATTTTTGCATCCAAGTCAATACAATAATACAATTTATCACTTTTAAATATTGATGATATATTTCCGGGTATATTTTATAGCGAAGAGATTATATCAACCGCGCAGTTTTGCAACTTCTTTTACGCCCGGAACTGCGCATGCGTTTCGGGATTTTTTTTCTTCACTTCGCTCTTCACTAATGTGCGGAAATATTCAACGGAGCCTGCAAACAAATTTACCTGTTATCTATTTTTATATCTGTTTTCTTTCTGTTTCTATTCAACACTTTTCTTGTAGTAATCTTTTCTTATACCTATTTAGAATTAAATTTGACATGTATTAGAAGATTCCTTTGCTTTTCTGCATCGCTTAACGTGATTACATTTAGCGCAATATTAGTAAAACATATAAGAAAACTGGAATCAGTAAATTGTTTTTGGTTAACCATCGACATTTGATGACATGGGCTATGTTACAACACGAAGAAACATTAGAAAATCTATCTTTTATATGTAAGAAGTATAGCAGAACAGGAATCAGTAAATTGTTTTTGGTTAGCCATCGACGATTGATGACAGAAACCACATTATAATACGAAGAAACGTTAGAAAATCCGTCTTTTTAAAAACATTTCACCCCAAGCAAGGCGATAATGCCGCTAAAATGCAAGGGGTTATTTGGAGTGGCTAAGAGTGACAAGGAGAACGGAAGACAAACGATTTAGAATACAGGAAGACAGAAGATAGCAATTGCCGTTTCATATAAACCTTTCAAGATTGTAGGTGACAGCAAAGTAAGAAATCAGAAGAGAGTCCCAAATGTTAGAAGTGCGTGAAAGGAAACTATTAGAATATAATCTATCTATCTATCTATCTATCTATCTATCTATCTATCTATCTATCTATGTCTATTCATATCTATCTATGTCTATTCATATCTATCTATGTCTATTTATATCTATCTACGTCTATTCATATCTATCTATCTATCTATCTATCTATCTATCTATCTATCTATCTATGTATGTCTATTTATATCTATCTATGTCTAATCATATCTATCTATCTATCTATCTATCTATCTATCTATCTATCTATGTCTATTCATATCTATCTATCTATCTATCTATCTATCTATCTATGTCTATTCATATCTATCTATGTCTATTCATATCTATCTATCTATCTATCTATCTATCTATCTATCTATCTATCTATCTATGTCTATTCATATCTATCTTTGTCTATTCATATCTATCTATCTATCTATCTATCTATCTATCTATGTCTATTCATATCTATCTATCTATCTGAGTCAATTCATATCTATCTATCTATCTATCTAGCTAGCTACATGCAATAGATAGACATGAACAGTTTAGAATACATATAATAGATAGATAGATATGAATAGACTGAGATAGATAGATAGATAGATAGATAGATAGATAGATAGATAGATAGATAGATAGATAGATTATATTTCACTAGTTACCCTCCTTACTATCATAATAAGTAGTCCTGGGTAATTGTCTCGGAGAAAGAAGATGATACTATTGCAGTGACTTGTGTAGCTGAGTATTGAATACTACTATCACGACTGACTCTGTTGAGTTAAATATTTTGTCTTGTCAGCTCCAACATCTAAACAAAAGCACTATTAAGAAAGAACACTAAAGGAACAGGAATTAAGAAGAGGGAACATAGCGATTGATATTGCGTATAATTCTTTTAAGGTCGAAGTTGACTGGGAAGAAACCGGAAGTGAGTTCCACAAGCGGGAAATGCCAGATAAGTAACTGTTACTTAAGAACTTACGGTTACGTCTCGCCATTTTAACTATAAAATGATGAGACCTTGCCTTCAATCTAGTATTGTGCTTAAATTAATGAAATCTAGGTACTGTAGGGGAAAGTTCATCAGAACAATTACCATGAAAGTATTTATAGAAAAACGCACAGAGAAGCTACGACTACTGAGGCAGAGATGCCAGGTCAGGAGCAATAACATTGCAAATTCTTCTTTCGATTTTATAAAAACTCTAAATACATAGCAGAAGCACCAGACCAGATGTGGCAGCAATATTCAAAGCATGAACGAATGGTAGACTGCTAAATATGTGAGATAGATTTTGACAAGTAAAATTGTCTTGTACGACACAGTGAACCAACTTTTATAGCAGCAGATTTAGCAACTGATTCAATATTTTCTTTCCACTTGATGTCAGCGGAAAACGTTTGCCCGAAAAGGCGGAACGAATCACTCTACTGCATTTTACCATCAGCCATGCTGATTGAGGAAAACTGGTTCCCAGACGATTAAAAGAGAACATTTTCGTTTGGGATGTGCTAAAATTAACAAGCCATTACTTGCCCCAGTTAACAACAAATTGAGATCGGAAGACATCAGGAAGGTCATTTAGAAACGTTAGGAAGAACGTAGGCCTAAATTTAGAGCTCTGAGGGAAACCGGCATTAATGAAAAATGATCTAGAAGAGTAGTCATTCAGGACAACATTCATTTCACTATTTGATAGGAAGGACTGAATCAATTCATAAACTCGTCCATAAATACCATAACCTTTCAACTTGTGAAAAAAACCCCGATACACCAAACTTTATCAAATGCTTTCGAGATATCAAAAGAAACAGTGTAACCATCACCATTTTTATCTAAAGCTTGATATTCTTTAACTAATAATGGTTAATACATCAGCAGTTGACCTACAGAAACAATAGCTATAATACTTCTTTGAAAGAAGACAGAAAAGTGAAATGCTGAACGAATTCAGATTTGATTTGAGCTTCTACTATTTCACCAAAAAGCAATAGAATGCTGCTAAGCCGATAATTAAAAGAATCTGACATTTCGTCTGAGTACTTAAAAATTGAAAATACATAACAATTATTTTTTTAAAATTTTGTTTAGCCGCATATCAGTCACTGTCTGTTATTTTATGCGGAAATCTAAATAATTTCAACAATTTTGTGGCTCCAAATATACTGGTCATTTGTTTTGTACATATATATATGTAATCTGACGGGTTTCGATCCTGGCTTGAAACTATCGGATGTTTAACCAAACTAATGAGCTGTGATACAGCGAAAATGTCTGTCTGTGGATGACTATTTACGCTCTCGAAATAATTCGATTGAGCTCTCGGAGAGGAAGGAGTGATTTTCGTAAACAGTAGGTACTGTAGCTGCTAATGCAAGGCTCTTCAACTAGAATCGAGCTCTCCTAGCCTCTGACATCTTTCGTATAGTAAAAACGTTAAAATTTCCCTTTCTCTCTGCCGTGCGACGATAGATTGAGGGTAGAATCTACGACTGATACCAAATCGCTTGGGTTTCAATCCCAGCTTGAAACAGTCGGATGTCTAGCTACAATGATCTAGCGAATACAGCGAAACAGTCTGTCCGTGGATGACTATATATATATATATATATATATATAAATTCATGAATCATTCATACAAAAAACAAATATAGAGGTTAATGATTTAAATGGCGAGCTTCGCCATTTAAATCCTTAACTTCTATATTTGTGTATATATATATTTGTGTGTATAAATGTATTGCTGGCATTTTTAATGTAACATGGATTTTTATACTTTGATAGTTTTGTTTTGTTTGGTGGGGGGGGTCCGTATTTGACCATAATTGGGACCCTAACAGGTGCTACCACCCCGAGTCAAGGTGGACCTGGGAATTAAGACGTCGTTCCACGCTCCTCAACACCCCCAATCTCCCGATCAGAGTTCTTGCTGTCGGATGTAGTTTATCGTCATACCCAGGACTTAACTACAGAAGAGGATTTCCAACAGGCAGGAAAGCAAGAAGCAACAAGCCATTTATTTTAGAGTTTATAGATAACAGGAATCAGTTAGGGAGTACATTTCTTTAGAACTATTGCAGGGGTACCATGAAGTACCCGTGCTTTGTGAGGATCCAGTTTAGAGATGATAGCAGAAACCATGGCCGGAGTTATATGCATATCACTCAAAAGAGAGTCAATTCTAAGTGAGATGTCAGGTAAATATACTTCAGATGTTTCAAGAGTAGAATGGGAAAAGTATTTACGAGCAAAACACCTCAAACTGAGTGAAGAGAGGAGGGATAGAAGTCTTAATTTTATTTAACACACTGTTACAGAGCCGCCAGTAATCATGAGAACCAAAATGGTTAGAGGCTATATGGTGCCTCATTCTATCAGAAAAAAACTTAGCCTCTTTGCAGACACATTCAGAATTATTACCAGCAAGCACAAATAGGCGTCTGTTGTGTTTTGTACTATCACATTGGTGGAGCCGGAAAAACTGATTCCTGTGGGTTATAGCGGAAGAACAGATGTGAACAAAGGAAATATTGTTGTTGCACTTGCTATCTCCGCGAAGTTAAATGAAGAAAAAGCATTTTGTTGTTATCAGGCAAGTTCGGATTTTTTCAGTTCCTCCGCTTCTGGAAATTTTAAAAATGTTGGAGATGAGCAGCATTATGGAGAAAATATCTGTTTTCAACATTAGAGTAGAGTTAACATGCCCCAATCAAAATACAGCGAGCCTGTAATATTACAAGAACGTCCCGTGCTAGATGGGGGTGGAAGAACCACTAGACCGCACCTTGCCGTGTTGACATCTGGATTCCATAGTGACATTGCATGCACCATTCTTGAGCCTTACCATCAGCTCGAACTGATCGCCACTCACCGGACTAATAATTTGCTAGTCCTTCATAGTTCAGTTAGCGAGCTCATAAACCTAGCTCTGTGTCAGATGTACGAAATAACAGGAGCATCCTAGTGGATCTTCTGTTCCCATATCACACGGAAGCTAAAGAACGCTGAACTGATAGGCTGCATATGCATGTCAGCGGCTGGTATCTGCTGCCTTGAATGTTAATGTCATTTTAGCCAAGATCGCTTGTCTATTTACAGTCAATTCTAGCCAGGCATCTCTGGTCATAATTATTTAGGACTAGTTTAGTTACAAACAAAGAGAACTGGATTGCCATCTGTTTATATGTCAATGGATTCTGGAGAATCTTCCTACGGATGAGGAGAAAACTAGAAGCTTCAAAAATACAGTTCGACAGAAGAATACTGAAAATTCCATGGACGGAGCAAGGAAACAAGGAAGTCTTAAAGAAAATAGCAACAGAAAGAACCCTTATATTTAGAAAAAAAAATGAAATACCTTGCGCCAATAATGAGGAAGGAGGGCTTAGAAAGCTTAACCCTCACAGGGCGTATAGCGGGCTAGTTTTGGTGTGGTTTATTTTATTTTACGGCCTATCAACCTCAGTGGGTTATTTAATGCCGGCAAGATTTTTAGAGAATATTCGTATGAATAGAATATGTATTCTTTGGAAGAAGTTGTAAATCAGGTTTGATTGAAGTATTTTTCAGAAATGTATTGCTGGTAGTTTTACTATGAAAATCTGTTTTATACTTTCATAATCTTTGGCGTTAACTATTTTCCCATAGATGGGACCTTAACAGATGCTACAATTCCGGGTAAAGATGAACCTGGGAACACCAGCAATTAAGAGGTGGTTCCACGCTCCTCAAAACCTCCTGATTAGAGGCCTTGCTGCCGTATATAGTTTATGCAGAGGACAAGAGAGATAGGAGAATGCAGCGAGCCACTTACCTGACGGCTTGTGCGAAATAAAAGCGGGACAGGATCGAGGGCATTAGCAAAGGGATAAAAAACTGCTAAGAGCCACAAAGGATAAGAATTTGCAGAGAGCCATTACCCGCTATGTCCTCAAAGGAAGCAGTACATAAAAATAAGGGGAATCAGTCACTACGCTGCCTATGGATGGATGTAATGCCTTATATAATTTACTCCTGGTACAATTATTACCTCGCAGAGCGTGGGTTGTCAAATATCCCCAAAATTTCAGAAATTCCATCAATCGGGGACCCACGATCATATCTTATGCGAACACCGATAATTTACTTTGACGGTGTCCAAACTGATTACAACAGATTTCAGAGCAAAATCGATATTGATCTGAGCATTTCCATGACGTCAAAGTAGAGCAGCGCCCCCCACAAGACTTCTGGCACATCACACTCTATATGTCTCTCTCTTGATCAATTTTCCATTTCAATTTATTCAAACCAATCTAAGATATATTAGTTTCCACATTCGCATAGCATTTTCAGTAATACAGTGATTCAAAGTCAACAGTTATCTTACTACATTCAGATCAATTAATGTTTAAAGCATTATAATGTTTAACGTTTAGAGCATTATAATGTTTAACGTTTAGAGCATTATATTGTTTAACGTTTAGAGCATTATAATATTTGATGTTTAGAGCATTATAATGTTTAATATGTAGAGCATTATAATGTTTAATGTTTAGAGTATTATAATGTTTAATGTTTGGAGCATGATAATGTTTAATATGTAGAGAATTATAATGTTTAATGTTTAGAGCATAATAATTTTTAATGTTTAGAGCATAATAATGTTTAATAGGTAGAGCATTATAATGTTTAATATTTGGAGCATAATAATAAGTGATATGTAGAGCATTATGATGTTTAATGTTTAAAGCATTATAATGTTTAATCTTTAGAGCATTATAACGTTTAGAGCATTATAATGTTTAATGTTTAGTGGATTATAATGTTTAGAGCATAATAATGATTATTATTTAGAGCTTTATAATATTTAATGTTTACAGCATTATAATATTTAATGTTTAAAACATTATAATATTTAATGTTTAAAGCATTAAATGTTTAATGTTTAGAGCTTTAAAATGTTTAATATTTAGAGCATTATAATGTTTAGAGCATTATAATGTTTAATGTTTAGAGCATTATAGATATTTCGTGTACCTATGTGTTGATAGTGCGCCCGATTCTATGAGTAAAGTCGTGAAGACAATGATAAAAATAAGATTCTTTTATATGCTGTGTTTCTTCAGGATTCAGACGAACGTGGATCTCCACGACTTCTTATGCTTTGTAGTGCTTAGTTTCATCTTTTCTCTATCGCATGCAATCCTTGATCTGCCCATCATTTCCACTAGCAGCAGAAGTAGGTTACTCGCTGCTTACCTCCGTCCCTCTTGCATTCAATATGTCCTGTGAGTGTTAAATTCTTCAAGTCTTCTTTTCTCATTATGCATCCTAGAAATTTCAACTTTATCTTTCTGATTTTAAATACAAGTGTCCTTTTTGTTTTAGTTTTCTAAAAACTTCCCCATTATGTGCCCAGTTCAGCCACCTTTTGTAGAACCACATTTTTGTTGCTCCAGGTCTCTTAATCTATGAAGAGATTGTCCGGCATTCACTGCCATATAGGAGAACCGATATTAACATAACAGTGCAGTACACTTTTGTTTGCTTCTAATTAAATTTTCCTGTTTCTTAATACTTTGATTAACTTTTGGAAGGCATGTTTCGCTATCCCAATGCAACTTCGGATTTTGGTGCCAAATTTTCCAACCTTTGTTAGAATCCTTTCCAGATATTAAAATTTTGTACTTGATTGATTTTGATATCTTCAGTCTATAATTGCGTGTTCGGATGTCACTACAAGTTATAAAAGTGTTCATTTTATTTAATACATTTTAGAAATTAATGATTTATTTGTTATTTTGTAATAATTTATTTGTCTCTCGAATCCGTTTTTCAGCAAGAAGGAAAACTCTGAATTTACAACCAGTCTGAAGAGAGACTGAGAGAGACAGAGAGTGAGAGAGGGAGAGAGAGTGAGAGAGAGAGACTGAGAGAGAGGGAGAGAAAGAGAGAGAGGGAGAGAGAGTGAGAGAGACAGAGAGTGAGAGAGTGAGAGAGAGTGAGAGAGAGACTGAGAGAGAGAGAGGGAGAGAGAGAGCGAGAGAGAGAGAGGGAGAAGAGAGAGAGAGAGAAAGAGGGAGAGAGAGAGGGAGAGAGAAAGAGGGAGAGGGGTGATAGACAGACAGGGAGAGAGGGGGAGAGTGAGAGAGAGTGAGGAAGAGACATAGAGGGAGAGAGAGAGAGGGAGAGAGAGGGAGAAAGAGAGGGAGAGAGAGGGAGAGAGAGAGAGAGAGAGACAGAGAGTGAGAGAGACTGAGAGAGACTGAGAGAGAGAGAGAAAGAGTGAGAGAGAGACTGAGAGAGAGAGGAAGAGAAAGAGAGAGAGAGGGAGAGGGAGAGAAAGTGGGGGAGAAAGAGATAGAGAGGGAGAGAGAGAGAGAGAGAAAGTGGGGGAGAAAGAGATAGAGAGGGAGAGAGAGAGGGAGAGAGGGAGGGGTGGTGGCTATCATTTTCTAGGTAAATAGGAAAACGAAAACCATTATTATATCTAAAAACAAAATTGCTTACAAAAAGTTTACATTTCGGCATTAAATAACCCATAGCGATGTTCATGTGCCACTAACCAAAAGCAACTTTAAGATGCCTGTTTGAGTCTCGTGTTACAGAAAAAAGGGAAACCATCCTATACGCTGTACGATATACAATGTTTGGTTTGGTCAATCGCATACCAACACCTTATGGGTCATTTAATACCGAAATTTAGTTTTCTCGGGAGCTTTGGTAATTTTTTTTCTTCCAAAAATGTATTGCTGGTAATTTTTCTTTTTCATTTTCCAGTAAAAAAGCGCTAGTAATTTTTTTCACTATGAAGATATATTGCTGGTATTGTTACTACCAAAAAAATGTATTTTTATACGTTTATAATGTTTTGACTCCAGTTTGGGATTTCACTATTTTCCCATAGCTAGGACCCTAACAGGTGCTACCACCCCGGGTCAGGGTGGACCAGGTAACAACAGCAATTAAAAGGCGGTTTCATGCTATTCAAATCCTCCCGATCAGATGTCTTGCTGCATTTTATTGTCATACCCAGGACCAGAAATAAAATGTGACAAAATATCATTTTTATTTTATTTTGGGCACTTAAGGAATTAAAATGAAAATACTTATAAGTGTAGTGACTTCCGACATTTGAAAATGCCATCTGCAGACAATTTTATTTAAGATTCACACAAGAGCAACTCGTAGTTTAATCGATGTAATTTCTTCATTATAGTGTTAAATAATTTTGTGGTATTAATTTCTATACATGGTGAAGAAAACGGAAACATTAGATCTCTCGATTGTGACTATTGTGCGTTATTTAGATTTTATCAAGATCTTAAAGGAAGCTTTACGTGAATGGCATGCAATTGAGTGAAAACAGAACAAGCGGAAGGTCGAAAGTATGAAACAATTAAGCTTCCTCGTTCTATGAGTTCACAGTAGAACATAGTTATTTGTGTTCGACTGAGAAGGGAATAGAATTCTATGAGTCTTGTCTTTTCTTATTGTTTGATTTTTGGTCTTTGATTATGTCATGTGGATATGAATCATTTTATGTCAAATTGTTTTTTTTTTTTGTTTTTTGTTTTTTGCAGAGGTTATATTTTTTTTAGGCTAATTTTGTTTTCTTCTTTTAAAGGTAAGCGAGTGAAATTTCCCGAAGATAATTGGTAAAAGCTATAAAAAATTGAGAACGAAAACTATAGAATAGATTGGCAAAAGAATTTTTTATACAAAAAGAAAAAAAAAAGTAAAAGAGAAGAAAAATGATATAAAAACAGATACAAAATTAGTAAAATAATGATGACAATGAATGAGAAGGGGAAACGCTGGTAAATCGAGGAAAAAGGAACAAATAAAAACACACACAAGAATCACAGAAAGAAGAACAAGAATAATAAAAGAAACCCCCAAAAAGATTGTTTTAAAAAAAAAAAGGAAGAATTAATCGCGAAAATCCAAAACCTGAAACAATTAAAAATGACACCAAGAACGAACCTCATAATTGAAATACAACGGAAGCAATTGATTGATTCATGACTAGAGTTTTACGACGCAAATACCTCGAAACTTTCATATATATATATATATATATATATATATATATATATATATATTCTCTCCTTAAGACGTACAAACAAACAATGATTACAAACGACGAAAATATAAAACGACTTAAAATCTCAGCCACATATCCACGTACGCATACACGAACACGAACGAACACACACACACACACACACACACACACACACACACACACACACACACATATATATATATATATATATATATATATATATGTATGTCGTGCTGGTAAAATGTAATTAGATTTCTCTTTTTCTTAACCCCTGTGATTTGAATGCTTCGTCGGTGCCACGAACAATTCTTTATAAAGCTGATAAGGAAATGCCTGGAAGCTTTGATGACAAAAACATTTAAAAAAAAAAAAAAAACTATTGTTAAGAAACACGGAGCATTGAATTGGTTTGTATTTCTAAAACATGTGTGTGATACTAATTACATGTCTCTTTCTATATATATCTTCCATCTGTACACACTTACCGAACGATATCAACGAGATATCTGTTTATCGGTCTATCTGTCTGTCTAGCTGTTTCCCGTTTTGTGGACACGCTAGTGGTTCATGTAGAAGCTGAATTTCAGTTTTCTTCTTCGACTATGTGCCGTGTCCGTTCAGAACGTAGTCGATCACGGCTCTCTACAGCTTCCAATCCTTTTTGTAGCCCAGGGTTATATTTCTATTTTACCTCTCATTCGCTGTTATGCCATCCATTTTACATAAGCAAGTTAGACAGGTTACTCGCTATTTCTCTCTGTTCCTCTGGCCTTTAATATGTCTTATCTACAAGTGTCAAAGTCGCCAACCTCTCTTTCCCTTTTATGTGGCCAAGACACTTATTATTCTTATTTTAAGTATTACCGTCCTTTATGTTTTCTTTAAAACTTGATTGTTATTTACATGTCCCGTCGTTGGTATTCTCAGCATCCTACTGTAGAACTCTGTCGCCTCAAATCTCCTATTTAACTGTTAGGAAATTGTTCAGTATTTACTGTTATTTAGGAAGTCTGATATTACATAACAACTCAGCAGATTTTCCCGTTTCTTGATACCTTGTTTAGTGTTTGGATAACATCTTTTGCTATTCAGTACGTCTTGGAATATCTTGGTTATATTTCCTTTCGACTGTATATTCAGTCATCTTCATGCACGGAAATTATTTTGTTTATCGCAGTCGGGAAAAATATACCGAGCCTACCTAAAATCTCTCCAAATTATCAACTTCCATAATAATTATATTTTAAGCAAATTCTATGACCCCCCCCCAAAAAAAAAACAAACAATAAAACTAGCATGGAACCGCCCCTGTACCGAGACGAATCCAGTTCAGGGTTGAAGAAGAATGGCGGAAGTTGTGCCGGCTGAAATAGGCTATACCAACATGAAGCAATCTTGGATTTTTGGTGTGTAATACACACACACACACACACACACACACACACACACGCACACACACACACACACGCACACACACATATTTGTGAAACTTACAGAAATTTAAAAAAAAAACGTATCTATGAACACAAAAGGATTTTATACAAAATTTTGGATTTTTTGCGGTGTAATATATATGGTCTGTCATAATAAATACTTTGAGCTCTATTTGCGGATCATTTTTAATATTTGATATTACTAGGATCCACCTGGATTATATATCAACGGATCTGCTCCTGTAATATATATATATATATATATATATATATATATATATATATATATATATATATATTGCAATTCTGCATTCAAAACCATATATAAACCTGCCGTAGCACATTCCAGTCAGCAAGCGGAAGGTTCATGAAGTTTACAGTGACACTATCATGTCGACAACAGTCAACAGGCGACTGCGTCAGTTACTTCTATATATGTAAGTATAATGGATTTGCGTAAGTAGTAATGGGGAGCAGTTCAGAATGAGATTTGAGAGAACTATGAATTCCAGTTTAGTTTATTGCATTCACACACACGAAAATAACTTTGGGAAAGGTAAGAATCCCACCAGCTATGGGTTAAATAGTCGGATAAGCTTGTTTTGATAGCCTTTGTTGACAATCATTCTACAGATAGTGACTCCACATAATCTCCCAGGCAGCATGGGTCACTTGTGGCGTTACATCGACCCATGAAAACGCGCAGCCGTGTGAATAGCAGATTATTCTTTAGGCACACACACACACACACACACACACACACACACACACACACATATATATATATATATATATATATATATATATATATATACGCACCGGGTGTAACAGCAAAATTGTCCATCCTACAAAAGGTTTAATATCTAAAAAACAATTTTTCCAGGTTTTCGGATAAAACGTTTAGCCATCTTGATATCATTTGTCGTAAGAGTCACTGAAAAACCCGTTGAGTTATTCAGCTAGAACGAGAAAAAGTTAAAATCGCCTTGTGTCAGTCCCACTGTCTTCCCAAATGAGCAATGCTGAGAGGTAAAAGATCATTCATGACTTCAGTAATGGTACCAACATTCATACTCTGGCCTCCATCTTCAAAGTCCATACAAGAACCATCAAGAGAAAGGTGAATAAGTTTAACAAAGAGGGAACAATGGAGAGGAAGACTGGATCAGGCGGTTGCATCAGGAAGTAGATTCGCCATTTTAATTTAGAGCTAAAGAAGTTTCAGCTATGACAGTCTAAAAAGTAGAGAAAAAAGACTTGAAAATGAAATCGTGCGTGAAACGTTTAAGTCACCTTGTTACTCCAGGGGAGAAAGTTAGAAGGTTAGAGAGGGCGAAGATCATCTTGAAATAGTTCGAAAATGATTCTTGAATAATATATGTATATTTTAAAATAAATTCAACACTGCATGAGCTTCCGATCCTTAGCTATGATTAATTAATGATGAACATGTCATTTTCGTTTATGATCGATTTCATCACGTGTGTTCTGTTAAGCTTGAAAAGTAATTATACATTCTTATTGCTCAAATTAGAGTCTAGTGGTGTTAGAAAAACCTTGGAGAATTCCAGTAAGATATCTTTAATCATTTCTAAGATACAACGATTCACGCTTAATCTAACAAATAGACGATTTGGTTTTTACATAATTTGAAAAATTTTGCTGTTGTACCCGTGAGTAGACAGAAATGCCTGATTTACTCCGTGCGACAAAGCAACAGAGGCAAGTAAGGCTAGCATTGAGAGGAGCAGTATGCTGCCGACTTGCTTTAATATTTGCACGCAGTTGATTCCGATGTTACAGTTGGCCTTGCTTAAAACTTTGTATAGATGAGAGGAAGGACTGACGCTAGAACCTTCGCGCCGATGTTTTGTTTTCCCAAGAAGAAAAGGGCATGCTGCATCTGTTCAGCGTTTGCCTTTGTAACGCAAGACTGGCCATCCAACTGACCTGCTTTTTAGAAGACCGACAAAGAGGAGTTGTTTTAGAAGTCTGCTATCGCTCATGCAAGAAAGATGGCCTGTCCACCTGAGTGATTTACATTTGGATGACTCTAATACCTATTATACTTCACTGTTACTAATACAATATATATATGTATGTGTGTGTGTGTGTGTATGTAAATAATGTGTCTTCTTCCTCTCTCCCGTACGCCAACTTTATATGTTCATAAATTTGAATCTTTCTTTTTCTCCTTCTCCCTCAAAACAATATCTGTATATCTTGAATTTAACCTGGAGTAATTTTTTCCGTTTGTATTTGGTTTGCAAGTCTGAAAGATTGAAGGCTATTTTTATTGCTTTCATGAAGTAAAGATTATTACCAATGGTATTTTAAGTGTTTGAAATTCATTAATATATATATATATATGTTTGAAATATATATATATATATATATATATATATATATATATATATATATTCAGTCATCTTCAGGCAATAACCCATTAAATAAAAAATAAAAAAATTATTTCGATTTGCATTATATTTTTTCGTCTCGGATGTTCGCTGAATTTTACCAAAAACAAAATAATTTCCATGCCTGAAGATGACTGAATGTACAGTCGAAAGTACTTGCGTTTTTAAGAAAGCCCTCATACAGGTTATAATTTAAAAACAGGGATCATAACATTTATCGAGTGATTAGTAGGTTAATGCATCTTTAAAGGAATTTCGCCATTTTATATCATTAACTTTACTAATTTACTTTCTGTATGAATGATTCATTGTAATATAATTTGACTGTACCAAATATTTGATATATATATATATATATATATATATATATATATATATATATATATATATATATATATATTATTCGTCTATGTATGTGTGTGTGCATGTACTGTTCTAATCTAAACATGATCACTTATAAATATAAAAATACATGTATGTTAATTTTAGTATCATATCTGACTATGGATATTAAAGCAAAATTTGAAGGCAAATATAATCGTGATAATTTTCTGTGTTGATGTAACTGCAAGCCTTGTTGACAGAGCTTCCCCTACAAAAAAAAAGTCAAAGAATGCTAAAACATCAGGAATGTAATTAGAAAAAAAAATGTATATAAGAGAGGAACAGAGAGAAAGAGAAGAGGGAATATTTTTTTTTACAAAAATCTAGTTGTTGGAACGAAGAGCCAAATATCCCTACTTAGACTCACGAACGAGAAAGCAAGGCCCCGGCCCGCGGGCAAAATATTGTTGATGGAAAATGAAGAAAAGCTTCCGTGACTTGTGGCTTTTTAGACTTGTGCAACATTTTGCCTTAGATGATCCGCTATGGCTTTATGCCTGAACAAAAAAAAAAAAACAAAAAAAATCGTTTCAAAATAAAGAAGGAATCTTGTCAGTATCCACTTAGGATTTTTTCGCTAAGCAAATGCTTAACAAACCCAAATATTATCGAAAATTTATCGAAAAGAAATTCGATTCAAGAATTTTGCACTAATCTAAAATCATGTTTGGCGATGTGTATTTGTTAGTTTTATACATTATGGTTCGTGAGTATTTTTCTGTCCGTGTGCGCGTGAGTCGAATGTCCGTTATGAATAACTGTAAGCAAATTGAGTAATTTGTATAATTTACGCAAGTAAATTGCGTTTATCTAAGTACATCAATCCGTATATCCATTAAAATTCATCTATATCTCTGTATACAATTCGATATATATAGATCCGTGCTCCGTTTTTAATTCGATATATATGTGTGTACGCTGGGCAATATTTGATATATATCAGTACTGTGCACATGATTTGATATATTTCTGTACTCTGTGCGCGATTAGATATATTTCTGTACACTGTGCGCGATTCGATATATTTCTGTACTCTGAGCACGATTCGATATATTTCTGTACTCTGAGCACGATTCGATATATTTCTGTGCACGATTCGATATATTTCTCTACTCTGTGAACGGTTCGATATATTTCTCCACTCTGTGCACGATTTGATATATTTCTATACTCTGTGCAAAATTTGATAAATGTTTGTACTCTGTGCACTATATACATTTCGGTACTCTGTCCACAATGCGTTATAATTCTGTACTCGGTGCACAATTCGATACGCATCTGTGCCTTGCGTACAATTCGATACACTTCTCTACTCTGTGTACAGTTCGATATATTTCTGTACTCTGTGTACAATTCGATATACATCCACATTCTGTGTACGTTTGATATATATTTGTACTCCGGTCACAATTCTATATATTTCCGTACACTGAGCCCAATTCTCTATGCATCTCTCCTCTGTTTACAATTCGATATATATATATATCTGTACAGTGTGTATACGTCGATATATTTCTGTGCTCTTGGTCAAAGTCAATATGCGAGGTCTGATCAAAAATATCGGGACTGGTGCTATAAAAGTAAACAAGACCGCTTTCTCCTTCGATTTCTCTGGTTCTGGAGCCACACACGTCGGTTCCCTTGATGAAAGCTTTCCTGGACCTGCCTTTTTGGAGATAGCTATCAGCTACCTCGTCGCATTCTCTCGGACTTCCTCAACATCGTGAAATCTTGTTCCTTTCAAAAGGGGATTTGAATTTTGAAAAGTGGAAAAAGTCACGAGCGGGGCGAAATCTGTGTAATCTTGCGTTTGGCTAAAAAGAGCTGCACAAGCCGCGCTGAATGGAGAACATCCTACAAACGTCGTGACATGTCACGGTAGTACTCCTTGTTTATTGTGTGACCAAGTGAAGAATACTCGCCATAAACAATGCCCTTGTAGTAGAAGAAAACTTTCAAAGGGGTCGTCATATTGCTTCTTCGGTCATTCGCACTTTCATTTGAACATTCCACTGCAATGATACATACGTACACAAGGTCTTATCAAAAAGTGTTATAAAATGAAAACTACATCACATATCAATTCGGGATTTAATCACCTACGAAATAGTCCCATTCTTTATCCAGCATTGATGGAAGCATTCCTGGAACTGCATTTTGGGATAGCTATCAGCTGCCTCGTCGGATTATCGTGGATAACCTCGACGTCTTGAAATATTGTTTCTTTCAAGTGGTAAATAATTTTTTGGGAAGAGAGAAAAAGTCGCAAGAGGCGAGATCTGAGGAATATAGATTTTAGCTGATTTGGAGAATATTGCACAAGAAGTGATGAATGGGCAGGTGCGTTATCACGCTGGAGTTGCAACTCAACGGGCATATACAATTCTGTCATTTTCCTACGAACATCCCATAAACACCGCTACACGTCAGGGAAGTACTTCTTGTTTACTGTCTGACAAGGAGGAGTATGCTCATGATGAACAATATCCTTATAGTCGTAGAAAACTGTCAACAGTGTCTTCACATTGCTTCAACCCATTCATGCTTTCTTCGGTCAAAGAGAGTTTGGGATCTTCCCCTACGAAGACTGACATTTGGTTTCGGAATCATAGACATAGACCCACGATTATGACCGTTTTCAAAACGTTTCCTGAGGTGTGGCGAGACGACCACACTCTACACACTTTCCTTCCAAGCACTGTTATAAACAGTGGAAGTGAGTGAAAACGTTACAACTTAGTGCGAATGCGCGTTAAGGTCAGTTTGTGCGAAGTTACTCAGAGCTGCAAAGAACAGGAAGTTATGGAGCGCCATGATTGCTAAAAACCTGAACAGATGTGGCACATAGAACGAGACAAATGTGTTAGTCGCACATATTCTGTATAAGTTGAAGGAAACCAAGAACAAAATCGATCGAGTTTGCAAATTATAACTATATAAATATATATATATATATATATATATATATATATATATATATATATATATATATATATATACGAGGTCTTCCACTACGAAGATGGACATTTGCTTTCGGGATCATAGCCATAGACCCAATGATTTGTATCCTGTTATGACCGTTTTCAAAAAGTTTTTTGTGGTTAGACTAGAGGCTTTCGCTCCAAGCACTGCTATAAACAATGGGGTTGAATATGAATTCTTATATATATGAACTTTAGGAAGATTTTACATGCTTTCAAGTAATGAGTTTTTTTGTCTCTCTCATTCAATCTGTTCATAAAGATAAAACGTATCCATCTATACGCTCCTACTAACTCTTAGCCTGTTCATGTTTATTAATTGATTTCCAATTCGTTTCTTTTCACATCTAATATTGATTAATAAACACTTTTCGTATGTATGGTTAATTAAAGCTTCAAATACGAAATAACTTTTGTCTTGACCTTGTATCAAATAAAAAAATGCGGTGAGTCAGATGTACACAAAATTTCAAATACATTACACTTACTTTTACAGGTAATTTGCTAATATATATACTTCTTTTTTTCTTTCTTTCTTTCTTTCTTTCTTTCTTTCTTTGGTGGGTGCAGGAAATGCCAAAATTCACATCGGAATACTGAGTCAGTGATTTTTTATGGACTGAATATTTGAGCAACGACAGAGTTCTTACTTAAGTTTTAAACAAAGAAGACATACTTGCATCAGAAAACAGTTGAAATTCTTTGGGCACCTAATGAAGAAAGAGGGCTTAGAAAATTTGACACTCACAGGGCATACTGAAGGCAATGTATAACCTATCTACCTCGTGTAAATGGTTGGCAAAACAGTGATTGGGTGAGATCGCATAAAACTTGAGAGCTAAAAAGAAAGGGAAGGCGTGGGGAGCTATGATCGCGCATCTCCTAAAGAGACACAGTGTATAGAAGAAATCGTATTTATGTCTATATATATGTGAGTGTGCGTGTGTCTGTGTGTGTCGAGCGAGAGAGAGAGATAAAGATAGAAAACAATGTAAATATCTAAAAACATATTTTTAGTAAGATTATTCATAGATACATGTAAAGAAGTGTTTTCCTCTTTTCTTTCTCTTTCTATTACATTCCACTGTCTAGTTATTTTAAACTATAATCTATCTAACAATCTATCTATTCATAGCTATCAGTGTCTCTTTCTCTCCCTCACACTGTTTCAATCTATCTATCTATCTATCTATCTATCTATCTATCTATCTATCTATCTATCTATCACGTGCTATTTTACAAACTTTGGACATCACTTTTGCGTGAAACAGAATTTTCATTTTATTCGCTCATTTATATTTTCTGTGAGGCAGACATTTCGCGGTTTGAGTTCCCCCCGACATTTGGATAACACACATACTCACACACGCACATGCACGCGCGCACACACACATACATATATAGATGCATACACAGAGACACAAAAGACACACATACATATATAGATGTATACACACACACACACAGACATTTATATATATATATATATATATATATATATATATATATATATATATATATGAGTTTGAGTTTTCTATTTGTCTATCAATGGACGTTTCATCACTTCATCGGGAAACAAAGTCATTCCATTTTATTCCCACATTTGTAGATATTTCACGCTTTGACTTCACCAGACATCTGGATAACTACTATATATATATATATATATATATATATATATATATATATATATATATATATATATATATATATATATATATATATATATATATATATATATATATATATATATATATATATAACTATTCATATATATATATATATATATAGTTTATGAAAAACTAGGTAATCCGTATGGGTAAACCTAAGGAGGATAAAATCCAGAGAGCTCAATGTAAATCCAGAGCAAATAATTTAAATAAAAACAGACCACTTTAAGGTTCCATGTAATAAATTATTTCACCACAGCCCTTTTAAAAGGACTGCGGATCATCAGACTTTACTTCTAAACAAAAAAATGAAAAGAAAATTTACACATTTTTGACGGGCCGTATTAAACATATGTAAATTAACGAAGTGAGGAAGTGAGGGGGGAGAGAGAAGATATGAGTGAGTTGGCAGATATTGACACATTTAAACGATTAACTTAACGGAAGTTATATATTGATATCGAAGGGGTAGAGAAGAAAAACCCATAGAGAGAAAAAGAGAGAAGGAAGTTAAGAGAGAAGATGTCACTAATTTTCTTTGTAAAAAAAAGCTAGAAACAGACGCTGTTATTTTGCTTTACTTTGAAAGTGTTATTTTGGGGGTTCATAAAGATTATAATGTTTGATATAAATTTGAATATTATAATGTTTGATATAAATTTGAATGTCTCTAGACTATCCTTTTAAAAGGGCTGTGGTGAAATAATTTATTACATGGAACCTTAAAGTGGTCTGTTTTTTTATTTAAATTATATATGAGTGGATACTGAGGGCAAGACTGAGTGCCGAGATTCTCCCAGCCTGAAAATTGCGTTCACGCATGAAATGTGAAACAATCAGAAAAACAAGCATCGGACAGATTGTCGGTGTTGATCTCAATGTTCACTTTTATATTTTGATACGTTCGATCTCTGATCATGAGCGCATTTAACCATAAATATATTATAACTTAAAATTGTATTTTAATCATATATATATATATATATATATATATATATATATATATATATATATATATATATATGAAGAAATATAGTCTTAAGATGTTGTATACTTATGGGATAAAGTGCTCAATATCAGAGACAGAGTGTGTAAATATAATAGTGAACATAGAAGTCAACACTTAGAGGCGACAGTCTGTTTTCATGCTAGATGCAAACACTCGTGGCCTGACGATTGCATCTAGCATGAAACAGACTGTCGGCTCTAAGTGTTGACTTCTATGTTCATATATATATATATATATATATATATATATATATATATATATATATATATATTTATATATATATATATATATATGTGTACTTTATTTTAGGATATTTCATCGAAAACATGTAAAAATCGGTAAACAATTGCAGTCGCGTTTCGATGCGCGTACAAAGCGTGTCATCAGGCGATTGTTAATTACTGGCAAGTGAACGATTTAATCAGAATTAAAAGCAAAATACAGCCTCTTTTTCGAAAAAAAAAGAAAAAAAAACGGAAGAGGATGGTTATAACCACCCCATCCTCTTTCAACCAATCAAATAAGACCTACGTTATATTTAAACTAAGGGAAGATACAAAAATGAAGAAATTATTTTCCATAAATAGGCTATGACCCGTAGGTTTGAAATCAATGACAAACAACAGACGCCAAATAGGAGCGGATTTGGATGGATACATTTTATACATTTGTCATTTCCTAAGAAAAATCAATTAGTAATCTATCTATCTAATTATCTATGATGAGCTGTGAAACAGCGAAACAGTCTGTCTGTGGATGACGTTACATTGGCTCCTGAAAAATTAATTTCAGTTGAGCACTCTGAGGAGGAGGTGTGGGTTGGTAAACAGTGACTATTTATAGCTATATAGCGAGACTCTTCGCAAATGCGAATTGAGTCACTGTCGGTCACTGGGCGTGGTTCTAAAAATAAATACGCTAAAATCCACCCTACCGTGCGCCGACGGCTTAGTGGTTAGAAGCTCCGACTGACACCAATTCAGTCGGATTTCTATCCTCGCTAAAGGCAACCGTATGTCTAGCCACACTGATGAGCTGTGAAACAGCGAAATAGTCTGTCTGTGGATGACGTTATATATATATATATATATATATATATATATATATATATATACACTGGTCATGCCTTCAGAATGTGTGATGGCAAGATACCCAAGATCCTAATGTACAGCCAGTTGTATCAGGGCTGTTGGAATGTAGTAAGCCCATGGCTTAGATACAAAGACAAGATAAAGAGAAATTTTTCAGCTGTCAATATACCTCTTAACACCCTCGGGTGCTTAACCTTGGAGCTGGTAGAGTGGAGATCAACGTGTTTTAGTGGACTCACCAATTTTCAATCTGCTAGTTGGAATCATCTTCAAAAAGTGAGAGCAAGATCTAAAAGATCGGCCAATCTAACAGTGACCTCCTCCCACAACCCTGACTCTTGCTCTATAGGCGGTCTCCTTTGCAGATCCCTTGCGGGACTTAAGTGGCATTTAAGATCATCGCACAAAATTCATAATTGAATCAATTGGTTAAGATGTCAGATCTTCATGCGTCGAAACCGACAGAAGAGTCCATTATATATATATATATATATATATATATATATATATATAATGAAATGAAAAATTATTTAATATATTTTATGTTTATACTTTTTTTTTATACATACATTTTTTTAAGTAAATGCTTCGTTTTAATTAAACAATTTTACTTACATTTACCGGCCTGAATGTTCGAGAAATTTCTTATGCATTCCCTGATAGGAATCGAACCTGTATTCCTATACGGAAACCAGCATTTGACCTTACGTGCTGTACCATTCATCTATAGGGCTCTCCCTGGATTTATATCCTCCTCGGAATTATCCCTTCCATTCGGAAACTGGTAACACGTATAATTATATAAATATATTTTTCATCATTTCACCCAAGCAAGGCAGAAAGCCACTAGCACGCAAGGGTTACAGAGATTTGGAGCGAGAGCAAAGAGGAGTGATAGAGGAAAGGATGAAGAGAATGATTGGGAATAGATCAGGGCATCTGGAGACGTTGATTGAAATTACATTTGAATAGTTGGCGATTATAGCTAACAAACAGGAAAAGGGGAGGGAGTTCCACAGGCGAGAAGTGCGAGACATAAAGCTATTGCAGTTGAAGAGACGGCTACATTTAACAATTTCGACAGTGAAGGGGTGAGAGCGAGATGTCAGCCTAGTTGAACGCTTAAATTCATAAAGTCTGGGAACCAGCGAAAGCAGCTCATCGGAGCAGTTACCATGTAAGTATTTGTAAAAACACAGAGGGAGGCGACGGCACGTCTGTGAGAGAGCAACTGTAGACGAGATGCCAGATCAGGGCCAATTACATTGCATATCCGTCTCTGGATTTTATCAAGTACCTTGAGACAAACAGAAGCAGCAATATTCCATGCAAGGGCGAATGGTTGATTTGTAGATTTGAAGGATCGACTCCGGCGAGAAAAAAATTCCTGGCGCGGTACAGGGAGTCAACTTTCCTTGCAGTGGACGAAGCTGTTGACTCAATGTATTTGTTCCATCTCAAGACAGCAGTCAGTATGAGACCGAGCAGTCGCAAAGAGGTGATCTCGTGGAGTTGAGTTTCAGACATTCTAATGGGGAGTAATAGAGAACTGCTGCAAAGTACGCCACAAATTCCCCAAACGACCCTCCACAGGTTTTGAATTCAGAGTTGTCCTTCTCCTAGACCATTCGCCATCCAACTCTCTTCTACTATTTACCCATTGCTGAGGTGGGGGAGATGGGGTGATTCATACCTTACCCAAGTGAACTTGACTGGAACAAGAACTTAACTCGAGCCGCTATCGATTCTCGTGATTTTCCAAGCGTAGCTTAGATGTGGCACAAGGCCAAAAGTATGGAGCACCCAGTAAGAACTCACTACTCAGTCATAATTGTTTTAGCGAGACAAGCTTGCTAACCATTACACCGCCTCGGGGTGCCAAAAATCATTTTCTTAGCGTAGCTTAGATGTGGCACAAGGACGAAAGTATGGAGCACCCAGTGAGGATCGAACTCACTACTCAGTCATAATTGTTCTAGCGAGACAAGCTTGCTAACTATTACATCACCTCGGGGTGCCCAAATTCATTTTCCTAGTGTAGCATAGGTGTGGCACAAGGCCGAAAGTATGGAGCACCCAGTGAGGATCGAACTCACTACTCAGTCATAATTGTTTTAGCGAGACAAGCTTGCTAACCATCACACCGCCACGGGGTGCCCAAATGATTTTCTAAGCGCGGCTCAGATGTGCCACAAGGCCGAATGTTTGGGTCACCCAGTGAGTATCGAACTCACTACTCAGTCGTAATTGTTCTAGTAAGACAAGCTTGCAAAACCATTACGCTGCCCCGAGGTGCCCCCTCCGGTATTTGTATATGTGTATGTGTCCTTACGTGTGTTTATGTATATATCTATATTCTATCGATCTATTTATTTATCTATATATCTATCTATATATCTTTCCATGTTTGTGTGTGTGCGTGTGCATAGTTTGATAGAGAAACATCAGCGTCTGTCATTCCATACACCTATCAATAAACTGCCTGCCGAAAATAATCGCGCCGGGCGTTTTTCTCTTCCTGCTAATATATCCCG